TATGTTTCCTATTTTTATGCACGTCATAATTCAAAATTTGTGACTCACAGACCGCGAAAAATATGGAGGAATTTTTTTCAAATTGCATGGATTTTATCTTTGCCTGTTTTTATGGAAATATTATTATTAAACTATATTATTATTAACTATATTATTATTATTATTATTATTATTATTATTATTATTATTATTATTATTATTATTATTATTATTATTATTAAACTATATTATTATTAAATATATTATTATTATTATTATATAAAATGCCACATAAGAATTAAGTTGAATTAGATTTAGGGTTGCTTCCAAAGTTATTATCATGACAACTTAGGATTTAGATTAAATAGATTAAATATCTACTATATATGCAAATTTATTTTTCTGAATTGCACGTCAGTTTTGATTTTTTATTTATTTATGTTTTTGAAGGCTGCATTCAAATTGGCTACTACAAATGCATAAAAAATACACTTCATTATCAGAAACAAAAAGAAATAAGTTTGATTTAAAGTCTCACGTTAGGTAGGGTTCTACAACGAAGGTTTCTTGATTTATTAAGAATCGTCATTTATGAAATCTTATGATTATTTTAGGCTGAACAATGTTCTTTTAAGAATAAGCAGTGCAGTTAATGCTATAATTATAGGAAGCAAAATTATGTTTCTTTGTCCACTGCAGAGGCTGAGTATATTGTTGTAGGAAGCAGTTGTTCTCAATTGGTTTGGATGAAAGAAATGTTAACAGAATACAATGTCAAACAAGATGTCATGACATTATTCTGTGAAAATTTAAGTGGCATTAACATATCAAATAATCTAATTCAACACAGCAGGACCAAACATATTAATATATGTCATCACTTCATAAGAGAGCTTGTTGAAGAAAAGATTGTTGTCTTAGAACATGTAGCCACTGAATTGCAATTAGCTGACATTTTCACTAAGGCTTTGGATGCTAATCAGTTTGAGAACTTAAGAGGAAAATTAGGGATTTTCCTATATGAGGGTTTATACCAATTAAAGGCGTGTGGGAATATCATTAAAGTGATATTATATTATTTGTGTTTCCAACAAATAAAATTTCGAAAGCAATCATTACAAGACTGCCTCAAAGTGTTTCCCACACGCTACGAAATAACATCCTTCTACTTTCACAAAATTTTCATTCTCCTCTATAGAAAAAGAACCCTAGTCATTCTTTATCCTTTTGCTTAAAAATCTTCAAAGATGTCTCAACATCATACATCGTCTTCCTCAAAATCTGTCAATGAGAATATCTTTCTTGACAGAGTACTTGACATTACTCCTCTAGCAACTATCCCACCTCTTGATAAGAAGGTCAAGAAACCTAGATCATCACCTGCTAATAAATATAAAGATGATAAAGGTAACTCTTCTACTGCTACTGACAATAGGACATAAGAAGAAATTGTTAATGTTTATAGAAGAATTAGAAGGCTAGTAGACAAAGTGTTAAATGAAGGCTTTGTTGTTCATGGGATTTTTATCCCTCTTGCTGGTATGCCTCCTCCTGCTGACAAAAGAAATGATCCTAAAAGTGATCTTGTTGGATCATCCACCTTCAAGAAAGATCCTGCTGAAAGCAAAATTGAGAAGCTTGCTACCTTTGCTCTAAAAGAAATGGAAGAAGAAAATGTTGAACAAGATGCTGATGAAAATGTTAAACAAGATGCTACTGCCTCCAAGGATACAAAAGGTCAAAATGCTGCGAATGTAGTCAATGTAAAAGAGTTGTTTGACAATGAGCTCATTACTAATGTTGTTCCTGGTATTGCAAGAAGACTTAAATCCATGAAAGTGAATGATGCAAGTGTCACACCCCTGCCAAAACAATCAAGAAGAAAACCATGTGTGGACCCCCAAAAGCAGGAAGTAAAGTGGTCCCTCCCTCTAGCAAAAGAAAAGCTAAACATGTTAGCTCCACAAATGATGATGAGGACGCTGTAAAAAGATCCAAGAGTAAGAAGAAAGTTGTTCTAGTTGAAGAGACTGACTCTGAGTATGATGTCGAGCAAGATGTCTAGGACATCTCTCCTATCAAAAAGTCTGCAAGTAAGAAACTGTCTGTTAGGGTTCCTGATGCCCCACTTGACAACATTTCCTTCCATTCCGTTGGGAATGCTGAAAAGTGGAAGTATGTGTATCAAAGAAGGATTTCCCTGGAGAGAGAGAGAGAGAGAGAACTGGGAACCGGTTCTTTGGAATGTAAAGAAATCATGGAGCTGATATCTCATGCTGGATTGATGAAAACAGTTACCAGGTTTGTCAAATGCTATGAGACTCTTGTTAAGGAATTCATTGTTAATATTCTTGTTGACTATGTTGATCATAAAAGTAAAGAGTATAGAAAGGTGTATGTTAGGGGTAGGTGCGTAGAATTTTCCCTATCTATCATAAATAAATTTCTAGATAGGACTGAAGATGACTTTTGTGAGCTAGAAGTAACAGATAATCAAGTGTGCAGAGCCATCACTGCTAATCAAGTGAGTGAGTGGCCCTTGGAAAATAAACTTCCCGATAGCAAGCTTAGTGTGAAATATGCTATTTTGCACAGAATCAAAGCTGTAAATTGGATTCCCATTAATCACACTTCAATCATCTCCGTTGGATTAGGAAAGTTTATTTATGTTGTTGTAAACCAGAAACTTTTTGATTATGGTACTTACATCTTTGATCGGACTATTAAGCATGCATGAACTTGTATCATTAAGATGTCAATTGATTTTCCTTCCCTCATTTGTGGAATTATTCTTAATCAGCATCCTGGAATTCTAAGTGGAAATGATGTAGTGTGCAAGAGGGAGTCTACTTTGACCCTTCATTTTAAGCATTTTTTTCAGGAAAACATGTCCCAGACATTGTTTTTACATCTGCACCTGCTGAAAATAAGACCTTCACCAAGGATGACATGATCAATGAATTAAGAGAAGCCTGCAAGGAATTGGATAATATGATCAGAGTTAGTTCAACAAGGAAGCTAACTTTCGAAAAGATGATCAAGGACCTGCAAAAAGACAACAACCTTGATGATACAGTAAACCCTGAAGGTGAAGACTCTAGTTAGAAAGGAAGTTCTGGCTCACAGCTGCGCATATATAAGGACTTGTTTCATTATTCAAACAACTACAACTTTTGAAGAAGAATACTTTCTTTCTATTTTAGAAGTCTAAGTCTTTTAATTGTCAAATACTCTAGTATTGATTTAATACTTGTGTTGTTATTTGAATTATTAATTATGTATCATTCATAAGCTTTTAAGCTTTGAATGATTGAAGTTTTTAAACTTATTATTTCTATTGTTTCCTCACTGTAAGTGATTGAAGGGATTTAAGGAGAGCCTCATACCTAGGTGAGTCTTAGGTAGAAGTATAGCATGGGTAGTAATTAAGTGAGTAGATCGTAAACTGGTTTTTTATTGAGGGTCTATGAATTGATACTATTTAGTGGACTTTTCCCTGGCTTGCTAGCCCCCAGAGTAGGTGTTGTTGTACACTGAACTGGGTGAACAATCTCTTATATTTTTACTGCTTTTGTTATTACTGCTCTTTACTTATAAATAGATATTTGTGTCGTGACATCTCATTCGATATCACATATCTGATATCAGAATTTCAGTACTCATCAAAAAAAGTCTTCTCCATATGTTCCCAAGTAGTAATACTCTTAGCAAGTAATGAGTAAAACCACTTTTCAGCGTCTTCAGAAGTGTGAACAGGAACATCCTTAATTTCTTGGCTTCTTCAGAGTACCCCTCAATCTTCAAAGTAGTGCTCATAGCGGGGAATCTCTGCAAGTGCTTATTGGCATCTTCATTGACCTTTCCGGTGAAAGATCTCTTCTCAAGCTGTCGGATTATTGAGGGGTGCAACTGAAAATTTGTAACAGTTACCGGTTGATTCACAATAGTCAACCGACTTGCTGGAGTATTTGCTCCTCCATAGTCCCCAAGAAGTCTCTCAGGTGGTGGTCGATCTTCAACCATTGGTCTTTTTTCTTCAGATTCTGAACCTGAATGATCTGACGAACCTTTTTATTTCAGTCTAATTAATCGAGCTTGTTTGCGCCTTGTGTGAAAAGTTCTTTCCATTTCTGCGTTAAAAGGAAATTTGGCTGAAGACTTTCATGGCATACAAGGGGTAGACACAAATCAGTAATAACAAAAAAATATAAAGATACAGAAAATAAAAATTTTAGTTGCAGAACAACAAAATTTTAATTAAACTACAATTGAATTTAATAATTTTGCAGTTCCCGACAACGGCGCCAAAAACTTGATCGGAAAAATAAAAAGTATACTATTTTACCTCTTGTAATAATAAGAAAAATTATTATTATTAAACTATATTATTATTATTATTATTATTATTATTATTATTATTATTATTATTATTATTATTATTATTATTATTAAGTTTTACTTAGAAATGCTCCATATAAGAATTAAGGCTTATATATAATGCCACATAAGAATTAAGTTAAATTAAATAGATTAAATATCTACTATATATGCAAATTCATTTTTCTGAATTGCAGCGTCAGTTTTGATTTTTTATTTATTTATGTTTTTGAAGGCTCCATTCAAATTAGCTACTACAAATGCATAAAAAATACTTCATTATCATAAACAAAAAGAAATAAGTTTGATTTAAAATCTCACGTTAGGTAGGGATCTACAATGAAGGTTTCTTAATTTATTAAGAATCATCATTTATGAAATCTTATGATTATTTTAGGCTGAACAATGTTCTTTTAAGAATAAGCAGTGCAGTTAATGCTATAATTATAGTAATTAGAAGCCAAATACAGATGTAAACTTAATCACATTAAACGTATACGGATCACCTTCTTCACCTTAAGAGACCCATGATCGTAAACTAAGTTAAAGTCTTCTCCATTATAAATACTAGTGCAGAGAACACTACCTAGCGACCACAAATTCACATTAAATCTCTTATTTATCCTAAACATTCTCAATACCAAATGGCTTCACTTTTCCTTTCATCCTTAGTGATTCTTCTGTTTGCTGTTTCCGCCACAGAATCAGCTGTTGCAGATGTTATTCCTGTTCATGCCTTTCAGAAAACTTCAAACCATGCTCATGTTTATCCCTTAAACATGCCTTCTATTCCAGAAGAAAGTGCTACGCTAGAAAGGTTTGCACCACCTTCGGGAGTAAATGATATTTCAGCTCAAGATAATGTTTATCCCTTAAATATGCCTTCTATTCCAGAAGAAAGTGTTATGCCAGAAGGGTTTGCACCACCTTCTGGAGTTAATGATATTTCAGCTCAAGGTAATGTTTATCCCTTAAACATGCCTTCTATTCCAGAAAGTGCTATTCCAGATAGTAGAGTGCCACCTTCTCCACGCCATGCTATTCAAGGTTCAAGGAAGATCAAGATTTTAGTTTAACATGATGAAACACTTTATCTGAACTATAATGCAGTGACTCTTATGTCTAAATAAAACAGATACATTAATAATGTAATTGGAATCCCACATTCTAATAAAATAACTATATTAATTAGAATGCTGTTTATATTTTATCTATAGTCATTGGTCTTTTATGTTTATCAACACATCTCTCATGTCCTAACTGTTTTCTCTCATGAAATTTGTAACCTTAGTACAAAAGAAACACTGATCTATATTTCATATAAAACTGCTCATTACCTACCTAGACAGATAGAAACTGAGACTGATGGGTATTTATCATGGATCATCTCATGAATATTTATTAACATACCCAAGAAAAGTGATAAACTTATATTCATTGTATTGCATAAATTTGTTCGTGATACCTTATTTTGCGTCAACTTCAGTCTCTCCTCTGAATGTTACATTAAAGGTATCAATCAAGGGGGATATAGGCCCCTTTGATAGTGGTCCAGACAATGTCACTGTAGTCGGGTGGCTCCAACCTGCGCTGCACAGAGAAGCAAAAATTAATTCAAGAGGATCTAATAATTCTTGCACCAAGTCTTGACTCAAAAGACCGAAGCAACCAAAATGCTTGGGAATATGGCTCAAAACCTGTTCTTTCTGATCATTCTGAATGAAACAGCCCATATTCCATTGAAGTGCCAATTAAAGTAGTTGCTAAAAAATTGTTCCTATCAGCACAAGTTCTCACAGCATACCTATTTAATTTTTTCACACCTTGAAACACAGATGAATCAGCTCATGCTGACATAACACTGGTGAGAATTTTTAAACACAGCCACAGCACCACATTGCATTTAAAGTGCTTAAAAACTTCCATGTACACTTCTTGTTGCACAAATCCACTAAATTATTGTTATCATTATAATGTTCCTTCAATGAGTATCTGACTGGTGAGAGTTATAATGAGCTTTGATATTTATTGCTTAATATTTATCAATAGGATTTCAAAAATAAACTGTGTTATCTAAGGTCAGCATAAAAAAAAGACTATCTGTATATGTTGCGAAAACACCAAATCGTATGAGAGAAAGCTTTAAAAGTTCCCCTTATGGTCCATCAACGTCAGTTAAAATAGGAGATCAGTTAGCACCAGCAACCTTGTAAATTTCTCAGCTGACATAAGGGGCTCGGCATTATGCATTTTATTAGGATCCTTGACTTTCCAACTGTTCTTGCATAAGTAGTCCTGAACACCTAACATTAAACATCCTCTGAACTCAAGCAGCATACTTATGTGCTTGCAACAGCAAAGGAAAAAACGGTCACTTGTCGAATGGCTTGCAACTTCATGACAGTGACAATGCAAAACCATTTCATCATTAAGCACCATAACTATTTTTGGAACAACAGGAACTGAGGAACAAAGCGGGTACATTTGTATATAGTTGACTCAGGTAAGTTTAGATAGTAACTCACTCCCTCATATTTCTCCAACAATGAAATAATCAAACCTTTTCCAAAAATGGCAAGTATATTCCATACGAAAGCCATGTTAGAAACTCGATTAAGTGACAACAAGGCTCCATCTTAGAGCTTTCTCGAGTTTCTCTTCTTTCATCATCTTCCTCAGTCTCAAAACTTCCCGCCATTGTCCAGCCTCTGCTTGCATATATTCGACAACGCAACATGAGCTCCATGGTTATGATATTCTAGAGTAACAATTGTTTTCAGTACTCATTTAGCAACCTCGGCGTTTCCATTATTCTTGCTAGCTGCCAGCAAAGATCCCAAAATAACTGCGTTAGGTTTCCACAGCATCCTTTTTTATCATTTCCTCTACCTCCAGCAACTTACCTTCTCTCCCAAGAAGATCAACCATGTACCCATAATGCTCAACCTCTACCGAGCGCAAGCCGACAACACAAGGCCAGATAGCACCATTAGGCTCAAACCCAACAGCAATCATCCCCTCAAAAAGGTCCAAAGCATCGTTGTAACAAAATTTCTGAGCATAGCCACAAACCATCATGGTCCAAAGACTCAAACTTTTCAACGGAATTTCATCAAACACATAACGGGCATCAACCAAATCATCAGAAACAGAGTAACTTCGTCCCAAACCGTTAGCCACGTGATAATCGGATTCCAACCTGAATTTAACCTGTTCACAAGGTAGCAAGGGATTCGAGAGTGAAGAACAAGCTTTGAGGAGAAAGGGGGGAATGTGTATGTAAATGTTTATTCCAGAGTTCTGCCTCTTTGGGAACTTACCTCAACTCATAGTAATCAAACCACTCTTACTTGATCGTTGGAGTGTCTTGTAGGTACAATCCCCCCTTTTTCCTCAGTATACTATCCGACTGAAGATCATCCTCCAACCACTCTCCAGGTTCTGATCAACCGGCAAGATCAGTGATATCGTCTGTGGGAATCTGCTATCCCCATCTTTCTTCCCTCAAAACCTAAGATCAAAGAAAATTTTCTTTCAAGATTCATCTCTCTAATCATTGTCGACCATGATGATCTTTACATGCCCGGAAAGATCATTCTTTCCCCCGCTCGCATGACTGATGGAAGCCAGGAACACCCTCACCTCGAGGACAACCTGGGCTTCCGTGACAGACAAACCGCGTCCCCTGATTCCACTGATGCCCGGCGTGGTGACGACCAGCTCTTGGACAAGAGACATTCCAAGAATCCTACTGATGAACTGTCAGAAATCATGCAACCAGTTGCTATCCCTCTCAACACTGACCCGGCCATGGCAGCACTACTCGCTGCTATAAATCAGACCAACGCCCTCATCCTTCAACATAATCAACGGATAGGGGCCTGGGACAACAGACGCTCAAGATATCCTCTGTGGAGAGCCCGGAGACGAAACTCCCCCAGTGCATTACCACCCAGGCGTGGTCCACCGCCCAGAAAGGAGAGGCGCGACATTTCTTTCTTCAAGAAACGCAATCGCACACCTCCCCCAGAGATCAAGATTCCCCTTCGTTCAAGAAGAGGAAGGACAACAGGAAAATCGACCGAGCTCGACTTCCCTCTCCCGAACCGAAGCAAAAACGAAGGAGCCCCTCCCCCTGACGAGACCGTGACGACCGGAGGGGGAGAAACTATCACTCTCCTTCTCAATCTCCTGTCAATAGTGAGGATGACGAGCCTCGTGGCCCGCTATCGAGAGAGATCACCGAAGCTCAGCTCCTTGTCGGCCTGGAGAAGCCGCCCACTCTAGGGACCTACGACGGAACAACAAACTCTGATGAGCACATCGAGAACATCGATGTCTTCCTCGACTATAGAGGGGTCAGGGGAGCCATCAAATGTAGACTCTTCCCGACCACTCTCAGAAAGGGGCGATGGCATGGTACAAAAATTTTCCCGGCGAATCCATCACCTCGTGGAAACAACTCGAGAGAATGTTTTCGAGGCATTTCACTGCCTCCCGCTGACACCCTAAATCAGAAGCTTCGCTCGAAGCGATCATACATGGCAGGGACGAGTCTCTGCATGCATATATTGAACGCTTTAACAAAGAAGCGGTCCAGGTCCCGACAACGGACAACATGAAGAAATACCTACTGGAGCGCGAATTCTGTCCCCGCAGCGACTTTGCCAAGGCCGTGGGAATAGAAACACAAACCACGCTCGATTCCCTTCTACTAAAGGCCAAAACGTACATACAGTACGAAGAGAAGGAAGCGGCCAACAGCGCCCGGGAATCCAGGCACATAGAAAGTGCCAAACCCTCAAAGAATGATGAACCCTCGACATCCCGTCGGGGAGAGAAGAAACGGGAAGACATGTCTTGTGATCCTAAAGACTACAAGGGGTCGGTCGGTCGTTTCTACGACTACATCCCCTGACAACCTCAAGGGAGCGTATTATTTCTGAATGCGCTAACTCTGAATTCAAGCAAGTCGGGGTGCACTTCCCCCGACAAACATTGTCAAAGACAGGAACCGAAAAGAGCAAGTATTGCAGGTTCCACAAGAGTCACGGCCACAACAGAGGATTGTATTCATCTCAAAGATGCAATCGAAATACTGATCATAGACAGGCACCTCAAGCAATATAAGAAAAAGGAGGCCGCATGTGACGAAGCACCAGAGACCAAGAATGTCGAAGAAGGGAAGAAATCCCCCGACCTCGACACCATTATGGTCTCCTTGAGCATCTCAAGGCCAGAAGAATTCTACTTTCCGGACATGGAGAACGTCCCCATGTACTTCTCCACCCATAGTCAGTGGGAATCCTTCCCTACAGTCATGGTCATTTCCGGCGGAGGGTTCAACAGGCATACAGTTGGATTGGTGAAGAGAAGGTTCAACCAACTCATCGAGGCCAACTTTGAGATGGACACCACGCTCGACAAATTTCAAGGAGGATCTCACCCCTCGCATTCTACAGAGAAGAGTTATCGGGAGGAGCCCCGAATTCGAGCATCCCACTACTCGTGAGAGCTCAGATGGCTAACTTTGACGTGCGTCGCATTTTGGTCGATCAGGACAGTTCCGGTGGACATAAGTGGTTCTATAAATAGAACCCTTGTGCTGAAGCATTTTTGATGAAAATTCGGTCTTGAAACCCTAGCCGTATATTTTGTCTCACTTTCTCACTCAAAGTTTCCATTCGTAAGCATCTAGTACCATGTCCATAAGTGATCTGTTCGTGTGGTCTGAGTAGAGACGTTGTTATTCATCAATTCGTGATCACAACATCAAAGGTCTGAATCATCACAAGAGATAATGATTTCTATCACTGACCATGCCCATTCGTAAGGATCACTAAAGGAAAATTTTTATTTTCTGCTGCATTTTAGATCATAATTTTCCTTCATTATCTAGGAAAGATGGTATACTTTCTAGGGATAGAGATATTGTACTCTGAAAAGGGTGTAATTTTGCATCAGCTGAAGTATAAACTTGAGCTTCTGAAGAGATTTAAGTTGCAGAGTTGTAAGGATGCTGTCACACCTTCAAAAACCAATCATAAATTGGATTCTGATCCTGAGGGTCACGATGAGGATGCTACAACCTTCAAATAATTGGTTGGTTCTTTAAGGTATATGTGTAATACCAGACATGATATTTTCTATGCAGTTGGAATGGTTCGTAGGTTCATGAGTAAACCTATGTCGTCCCATTACTAAGCTGATGTCAGGATTCTGAGGTATATCAAGGGAACTTTGAATTATGGAGTACTATTCCCTCTGAAAGAAAGACTAATTTAGAGTTGATGAGTTACTCAGACTCTTATTGTTGTGGAGATAGAGTTGACAGAAGAAGTACTTCTGGATACTTGTTTAAATTTCTGAAATGTCTTATTTCTTGGTGTTTCAAGAAGCAACCTGTTGTTGCACTGCCAACATGTGCAGCTGAGTACATTGCAAGTGATGTAGCTGCATTTCAAGTTGTTTGGCTTCTGAGTCTACTGCAGGATCTGAAAATCAAGGTAGAAAAGTCGTTGAAACTGATGATTGATAACAAGTTTGCAATCAATCTTGCTAAGAACCCAGTGTTGCATGGGTGAAGCAAGCATATTGAGAAAAAAATATCATTTCTTGAGAAGTCAAGTCCAGAATGGAGTATTAGAAGTTATGCACTGTAGCACCTAGAAGCAACTGGCAAATGTTCTGACAAAAACGATCAAGACGAATCAATTTCTCCACTTAAGGGATGAAATTGGCGTTGTTAGTTTTAATTAGGAAATTATAAATTAAGGGATGATATTGAAGGGTAATTTAGTATTTTTGGTTGCATTTGTGGCCCTAATTTGTGTGTATAAATAGATTAGTAGTAGCTGTTTTTAATTAATCTTAATCTTTCTTACATCTTTGTAACCGTCATTGCAAAACAATAAAATATACTCTCATTATCTTTCTTCTTCATCACCTTGCACACTAATATTTTCTAGTCAAATGTTTCTCAATCTCTACTCTTCTCAATATATAAACAAACAAATCCAAAGTGTTTAAAGGTTTTTTTCAATCTCCTTAGATGCTCACAAAGTTCTTCCAATCCTTAGAGAAATGAATCCTAAAAATTTCTCTCTTTGTTTCTCTAAGTTATTTTCTCCGAAAAACTCCCCAATGACACTCATATGCAAAAAAAAATAGTTGAAAAACACCTTTTACAAGTGTCATGAGAAACACACATGATTTCCCTGAAACGAACTGTGTTTTTGTAAGACACACAATGTTTCTAGAACACACTACTTTTACACCAAACGCAATGCATTATTGCAACTCTTTCAAAATGGTTAATTGAATGTGAATTCAAGATCATAAATATCAAAATTATTAAAATTGGACCAGACCGGCCACACATTTTAAATAACAAGAGTTTTTCATTCTCAACTCAAATTATGGACCAGACACACGTTTTAAAGGTTACGCCCAATTCTAATGTTTGGAGAGTTGTGGATCGTCATAAAATTTTGACTTACACAGAATGGATCTAGTTGCTCTTGGACCTCTTCTGCTATGGTTGGCAAGTTTCCATTCAAAGACAATAGAATCTCTAATTGCAAAGTATCTTTCAATTATGTGTATTAGGAAAAAATAATCAATATATTAAAGTACAACAAAAAAAAAGTAAGTGGAAGAAAAAAAACAAACTAATTTATTTTTCCTATTGACTAGAATGGAAGAAACATTCTTCCTATTATCATTTGTCACCATTGACATGGTTAGAATGAGTTTGTGTCACTTTTATGTTCTCTGTTCTCCAAGAAGAGTCCACTGGTGGAGGTTGATACTCATCTGGTTTCAATGCCAATGAAAATTCAGGCAATGTTGGAGCTGTTTCCATAATCCTGAAACAAAATAAAATCATAACAAACAACATATGTTTTCATTAGTCCTCTTGCTTATTATACAAGCAAATAGTCTTTTTTGGTTACTAAAAGAGTGAGACGTTGTCTATCAAACACGGACACTAAGATTGATAATAATTTGAAAAAAATGAATAAATTAAACGTAATTAGAAGTGTTGGTGTTGGTTTCGAACACAAATATTGACACAGACACACATTTTTTCAGAGGTGTCAGTGCTACAGAAGAGTACGTTATTCTTATAGTCAATGGTTGTATCAAAATTACAAACACACCATCAAATGAGTATCTAAAACATTTACCTTTCGTGAGTGTATAGATCGCGGTTTATTCGCACCTTGCTTGAAGTATCCTTAGGAATTTTTTCAGAGAGATATTTCATGGTTCCCCAAAGTGGTGGGTTTCTGCATCATGACTACAAGTTATTAGATGGTCCTAATACAGCACAAGCCCATCATTAACAGTGTATTTGACATGACAATTTTCGATGAATCGTAATAGATAAATACTCTTCAAAAAAATGTTAAAGGCTCTTGCAGAAAAGAAGTAAGGATCACAAGTTCTTGAAACACGTGTCACATAAGTTTCGTGTGCGCGATAAGCATAGCATTGTGTAAAAGTGAAGAAAATAGATAACCTTGACAATGGAGGAGCCGTGTTAAATGCCTCACATAACTTCTTGCTTTCTTTGAAGTATTCATCTGCGGCTTGCAAAGCGGCTACAGCCATCCCATGAGATTTCTCGGTATTTCCCTCGTCAAGAATCAAACCGTGGTAATAATATGCTGCAGCCTGGTAAATCATTGCAATAAAACATATCAAAAGTTCATAAAACCAGAAAAACCCGTCTCTAGTAATATACCATTGCGCGAAGCGTTGATTATGGCCTGTATTCTGGAGTGTAGAAAAGGGTAGAAAAGCATATACCTTAGCTTCAACATATTTCCATTTCACAAGAAGGTGATGTTTTTCGCCCCAACCATTTGCCAGCGGAAGGTTCATAATGTTATCCTGAGCCTGTAAAATAGACAGTATAATCAACCCAATGTATGCTAAACAAAATCAATGTTATTTATGATACAATGCAGATCCAAGAGAAACCGAGCCAAGTAACGGTACCTGTTGCCAACATTTCAACATCTCGCACGCAAGTCTACGCTTCACTGCAAGAGTTGCTTTAGCACTATCAATTGCCATTCCAAGTTGTATATCTACACCCTAAAACATGATCATGATATTATAATAGATGCATTATTATACTCCCCTAGAAATGCTAAATCCATAGTAAAACAAATTTCCTTTTCAGGAAACGGATAGTCAGGGCCGTCTCTGAGGGCTTGCAAGACGGGGTTTCACGCAGGGCTTAAAGTTCGTACAAAAGAACATCAATACCTGTCCTAATGCCTGTAGAGACAGTGCTCGAAGAACTCCTTCCGCTAAGTCAACTGGTAAGTTTCTCCTAAAATCAGAACCAAAGTAATACACATGAATGGAATGAGGAAGGTTATTGAGATTAACCAAATGAAAGTGTGATAATCGATTAATTACGTACATTAGATTTGTAGAAATACAAACCTGAGTTCTGCAGGTAGCTGTGGAAGAACATGTTTGACTGCACAATCCAGATATCCAGAAGCCTTCAAGAAGATATCAATAGAAGTTCGTCGGTTTTCTGTTAGTAGATACTAAAAGCTTAATTTCATATAATTGGATTCGAACAAAAAAACGGAAGAAAAGAATAACGAAGAACCTATTAACTTATACTTTTCAGTTTAATTTGACCATCGCGACCAATTAGCAGTTACTTACTACTACTAGTCATTATAATGAACGTGAACATGCACGCACGCACGCACGCAAACCCGACCTGTAAGCATTTACTTACCATCTGATACTTTTTGCTGATGACCATCACTAGATGATCTTGGAAGCAGCAACAAATTAGCCTTTGAGTGCAATAGCATTGCCATCAAATGCAAAACCGACAACACCTCGTACCAAGCATTCGACATGGCTGTTTCCTGCAAAGAGAATCAATCGCCACAGCCATTCTTCGGTAAACTAAGCACTTTCCAAATTAAACTCAGAAGTCAGAAACATATATGAATTTAACAAGTCACCTACCTCTTTTTCGTCCTCTTGATTCATCCAAACAAATTGTACTTTGTATTGTAAATGGCTTCCTACACCATAAAAATCGATAAGTTGATAGTGCGCAAGCGAAAGCATACATCATGTAATAACAAACAAACACGAGTTTTACCGTCTTTAACTAATCCTAGAAGAACTGGCAAATAATCTTCAAGAGCCTGAAGAAGATCAGCCAGCGTCGAACCACCTGAAAAAGAAATCATCAACACAGACACACAGACACGATACTGATACATCAATAAACTATAACGCAAATTACATATCATAAAACAATTATACTTTTGCTAAAAAAACTAACTAACCATGTTGAGTAACACTTTTTCTTTTCGTTCTTGTAATCGTAGGACCTTCCTGGCTAGCCATTACAACTATCCGCGTTCTAAGAGCAGACAATCGCTCGATTATATTCTTCGACAAATAATCACCTAGCGGCTGAGCAAAATCAACAGGCTTCGGAATCCTTAAACCAGGAACATAAACCGAAACCTCGCCAATACTCCCCGGTCTCCTTCTATTTCCACCAGTATCCTTCGGAGTCGACAACAGGCATCCCATGCTGAATGCTGATACAAAAAAAAAAAACACTTACATCAAACTAGGAAAACTCATGCTCATTTTGATTCATTTTATTGAGTTTAAACAACATTACAATGAAGCTAAGAGATTAAGACTAAAAAAGCACTTATATGACTAATTAAATGCCAAGTTGCCAACCAACAAAAAGTGGCATTAGGTTACTCACGGGAAGCATTACATTTAACATGAAATAGTACTCTCCATTCTCCACATCATTACTTTAGACCATGTTTGGATAAACAACTTAATCACTTATTATATACTAAATGCTTATGTATAAGCTACTTTTAATACAAAAGATAAAACAAAGTCAATATGAAACTAAAAATTAAGCAGGAGAAGATTTATTTGAGTAACAAACCTTGTCCTTTGCGTTGGTTGGTAGTTGAAGAGTCAAGACAAAAGTTAAGGTTTTATGTGCAGAGAAGAAAGAAAAACATCACAAGAACAGCATGAGATATGACAAGTGATGTCCGTGTCAATATGCCAACAAGACAAAATAAAAGGTTATTGTTATAACAAGGTTTAAAAACATGTCTCTTACAGCGAAAATGACTGCGACAAAACACTATCAAAGAAATTTCACACCGAGACAATCAGTATCGCAATATTTGTAAAGACCGAATCCGTAAAACTTGGTTATAACAAGAGTTAAATGGTGGTTTCAAGTAAAAGTTTATAGATTGTGTATATCAAGAGGTGAAGTTTAGAGTAAAGGGTATCCAAAAAGAAATCCAAAAGAACTCAATAAGCAACAATTGGAGAAACACAAAGGAAAACTTTTGGAGAAGCCAAGATAATAAACAATGTTCCATAAATGAACAACTCAAAGTTGAAAATGTATAAGCAAAAGAGAACAATGTTCTATTATTTTGATCATGGTAATTCTCTTTTTTAAAGAAAGCAACATGGTTTAGAGAATAAAATAAGTTATTTAACAATTGAACATTCATAAAGTAGGTTCAGAGAATATATTAAAACACCAATCATCAATTTTTTCTTTTTGCTAATTTATAAAATATCTTGCTTTACTTAAAATGTCTTTTTTTTTTTATCAAATTTAAAACCATCGAGGAATGTCTTTTTTGGAATGTACTATTTCTGCATCATAAAGAGTGCAAGAGTTGATGTTCCAAAAAAAAAGGTGTGCTAGAGTTTTTTTTTTCACAAGAAAGATTAAGAAAATGAATAAATGTGTAATAATTATATTATTTTTCTGAATTTTAAATTTTAATTATTTTTAAAATATAAATAGTACAATATATTTTTTAGAAATTAAAAATCTTCTCATTGCCTTAATAAATTATTCGAAAAGAATCACAATAAATAATAAAACTCTCTTTAAAAGATTTAACATTGTCAGTGTATTTTTAAGGTTGTATTGAAATTTAAATTGAAAGAGATTTCTATTGTCTAATCCAAGTGTTATTTATTTATACTATTATATAATTTTTAAGTGTTTTTAATTTGTTTTTTCTTCAAAACTTTTGAGTTATATTAAATATTTTATATAATAACAACTCTGTCTTATCTCATTAATTGAGATAGGTTATATAGATCAATTTTTGATATAATGATCTATCGAGAATTATATTTCTATTCAAATAATTAATCTTTAATTTTTAAAGTAATTTTTCTTATAGCCTTTTTAGATCTTTCTTTTCTTCTAGTTGTTTGTCTTCTCTCCATCTAATATATTTTTTTTATTATAAAATCTACAAGTTTTCTCTATACATAACCAAACTACCTAAGTCTATTTTTCACTATCTTCTCTATTATATGTGTTATTCCAACACTCTCTAATAGTTTCATTTCTAATCCTATCCTTTTTTGTCTTACCACACATCCAACACAGTATCTTTATCTCTGCTACACTTACTTTATTCTCGTGTCGAGTCTTAAGCGCTTAACATTCTGTCTCATAGAAGATCGCATGTCTTACCACACTCTGATAAAATTTTTAATTCATCTTAAGTGTACATTTGTGTCACATAAAATCCCTGAAGTCCTCCTCCATTTCAACCACCCGTCTTGAATTCGATGGTTTACATCCCTTCTATTTCTCCATCATTTTGTATTACAGATCTAAGATATTTAAATTGTGTGACTTGAGGGATAATATGGCCTTCAGCTTTCACCTCGAGGTTAGAAACAATTCCTCTTTTGTTGAACTTACATTCCATATACTCCATTTTACTTCTGCTTAAGAAAAAATCATATGTTTCTTAAGCTCATATCCAAGTCTTCAACCTCTTATTTAAATCCTTCTTCAATTACCCAAATAAGATTATATCATTTGCAAAAAAACATGCATCTTAGTGCTAGATCTTAAATGTGTTTCGTGACTATATTCAAAATTAAGGTAAAAAGGTAAGGGCTTAGGATTGAACCTTGATGCAAATCTATTGTAATAGAGAAACCGCCTGTCTCTCTACCTTGTGTCCTCACACTAGTCGATACTCTTTCATGCATATCTTGGATAGCTCAAATATATGCAATTTAAACCCCTTTCTTCTCTAGGGCTTTCCACAAAATCTCTTTAGACACTTTATCATACGCCTTCTCCCAGTCAATAAAAATTAAGTACAAGTCTCGTGGTCTATCTGATACTGCTCCATCACACGTAGTAGTAGATAGATTGTTTCAATAGTCGACCTTCTAGACATAATATCAAATTGATTCTCATTAACTTGAGTATCTTTTCTTAGTCTTTGTTCAATCAATCTTTTCCATAACTTCATTGTATGATTCATAAGTTTAATCCCTCTATAATTTACACAATTTTATATATCTCGTTTTTTTATAGATTGGAACTAAAGTGCTTATTGTCCAATCAAAAGATATATTAAATATTTTATAATTTAATAATTTATATATTATTTTCATTTCTCTAGATGACACCACAATCACCAATCTTCTCTCTACATATTACCACTATCACTAACTCATTTATTATTTTTTTAATTTGTATTAATCTCGATTAATAAATTCATCTCATTTTTTCTTCATATTATCTATATTAGTAAACTTGTAAAAAAAAATATAATTTTAAATTTAAAAGTATTGTCATCTATAAAAGTAGAGTATCATTATAAAAAAACTAAATCTTTGTATTAATCTCTAAAAGTAAACTTAATTCATTTATTTTTATTTTTATTAATCTTATTGTTTTAAATTTGAAAGTATCATTATTTATAAAAATAGAGTATCATTGCAACAAAAAAAATCTTGAAAGAATAGATTACATTACTAAAATTTATTGGATTGCGATAATTTTGTTTGAACCTAATAAGGGTATTCCATGAGAAAACGACAAAGAATCAGATACATTAAGGCCAGGCGAGCTCCTACGTGATGGGCAGTAGCCTCCCGAAATAGATTTATAGGTTGCCCAATTGGATTGGGCCGTGATAACGCAAAATTATATCGTATATTCGAGTCGATTAACATAAATAAAGTTTCCATTTTTCGTTAATTATATTGCATTATACTTGCATTTTAAGTATGTTTTAGGTATTTTCATCCCACGAGGCTTACATTATGAAAGAGGAAGAAATGAAGAAGAAAAGAGTCAAATTTGCAAAGTAGCAGAAAGTATAGAAAATTATCATGACAAAAGGTTGTGACGGTCGTCACAACCCCATGCCGCTCGCCACAGGTTCAAATATGTGTGCCCCCCGACACACATACTATGGCGATCGACACAAGTTGAAAACATGTGTGCCCCATGACACACATTGCATGGCGCTTGGCACAAGTCAATTTCAGTGGTAAACATGAAGTAAGGTGGAGATAGTGGGAAGTTGGAGACAATGGAGATAATATAAATCATGGTCGGAGAAGTTGAGGGAAACATGGGATCTTCGTTGTGGACGTGGAGTGAACTTCGTGTTTACCACTGAAATTGACTTATACCAAGCGCCATGCAATGTGTGTCGTGGGGCACACATAGTATGTCGATCGACACAAGTTGAAAACATGTGTGTCCCATGACACGCATTGCATGGCGCTCGGAACAAGTCAATTTCAGTGGTAAACACGAAGTTCTCTCCACGCCCACAACGAAGCTCCCATGTTTCCCTCAACTTCTCCGTCCATGATTTATATTATCTCCATTGTCTCCAACTTCCCACTATCTCCACCTTCTTCAACTTCCCATAATCTCCACTACCTCTCACATGTTAACTTCCATTTTATTTCTCTATATATAGGATCTTAGAAATTATTTTTAGACATCCAAGTTTTGTGCGATGACTATTATTCTTAGTTTTTAGGCAGAAAAGTTTACTATGTAAAAGTGGTAGTTTCTCACATCGAGGAACTGCCACACTATTAGTTTTAGGCCTACAATTTATGTGCTCTTGGATCACAATCTTGCCATCATAATATAAGTTTATTTCAGTTTCTTGTTTCTCGCATTTACAGGTTCTTTATCATATTGCTTATTATTATTATTATTATTATTATTATTATTATTATTATTATTATTATTATTATTATTATTATTATTATTATTATTATTATTATTATTATTATTATTATTATTATCATTATTATTGTCATTATTATTATTATTATTTATCATTATTGTTTTGTTTGTCAAATTTAATTATTGTGTCGTTATTAATTGCAATTGTCATGTTTAATTCACTTTCACTTAACAATATGTCGAGCTAAATGGTTTTGAGTTTGGTATGTGAGGACCGTTGTTTCCGATGGGACTCAGTAATAAGTTGGCTTAATATCTGTTTGAAAATTCAGTTTTAGTCTTTGTTTTTAAACTTAATTTAAATAGCTTTGTCACAAGAGTGAGAGGTTACTTAACATGATTTTGCCACGCGGGTGGGAAATTAACTAAGGTTCGACAATCTTTTATATTACTTCGATATTTTCGTACACTTGCGGACGCATCAAGTTTTTGGCGCCGCTGCCGGGGACCAATTAAGTCAATTATTGTAACTTCAGTGGTGTACCGTATA